GCTATCCATCTACATTGCCAGAAAAATGCTATTCATTTGCAAAAAAAAAAAAAAAAATTACTTGTAAATATTCTTGTGATGAGTAGGGGCAGAACAAAAATATAGATGTATCAAGTGAATGCTCTTTACTCAAACTCCAATGGAAACACCTATTCTCTTCTTCATACCAAATTTGGGGATAGTTCAGTTCGGGAAGGATTTTGCTTCTCAGAAGTCTCCAATACATGCAGCTTTTAAGGCTCTGTCTTTCTGAGTACTCCTTCCTCTCCCTTCCACTTGGCCTAGATTTTTAAAAAGCCTCTTTGGGTCAATCTGATTTTCAGCTAAGGATCCCTCCGTTCCTGGTAGTGAAGGGAGCTGTGGTGACCTAAGACACTGATGTGGTATCACAAGACTTGCTGGACTAAGCTTTAGGAAGGCTGCTTCATTCTAGAAAGCAATGCCAAGGGATGGCGACACAAGGCCAAGACAGCAGAAGAGCTGGCTAGGACTCCAGGATAGGGAATTAACTCCTTTGAAGATGTTTCTTGACCCTGAGAGGTCAGTGAACTAGAAGCTGCCTGAAGTTCTAGTCATTGTAGTGTAAAAGCAGCTACAGGGACCTGGTAAACTGGTTGTTAAAGCTCTAGGTAGAGGCAGCTGTACTTAGCATTCCCCCCTCAGGCTGGGGATAAAGCACCAAGCTCATCCACAACTACTACTCAAAACACTTCACCCTTGGTTGCCAGAGCCGTGGCACAAGCTCTTTGCTAGGCCTGAAGGAGGACCAGAATTCCTAGAGGGCAGGATAGATTTTTGACTCAATAGACAATTTATGATGGTAAACAGGGAAGACGGTCAGATTCAGAACATCTGGATTTTCCTTTGAAGTAACTTCAGTCTCTAGCAAAGCATGCAAGGCTTTACTCAACTAGTTGACAGAATTAGCCCTCTACCCCTGAGGCCTGACCCTGTCCCTCCGATAACTTTGTTTTACTGACCTTACATAAGCACCCTCCCCCCCAGCTCCTCAGCTGTTTCCTCCTGTTTTCTCTAGCTTCCCCCCCTCCTTCCCCCATCTCCTTTTACTTTCCTTTCATTCAGCAGTGAATGCTTAGAAAGCAGATGGCAAGTTGTGAATCCAAGCCAGTGAAAACGCTTCCTGAGCATCAGGTATAAAGCAAGCCCAGAACCAGGTATACTAGGCGTTGGGATACATATTATTTCTGCCTTTTGCCTGAGGAAGTCCCCATACACCATCCATACACAGGGTTATGCTGAGGCAGTTACTCTGATCAAGGCATGAGGAAGGATCCAGGTTGGTACTATTAATCTGTGATCAGCCCTCTTCACCAGAGCTGAGAAAATTGAAAGGGAAGCTTGACTACTAGAGGTAGATTTGGGATTTATTCCATAGTGACCTGAAAACCAGAATTTTGGGATGGAAACTCCCCTGGGAAAACACGGAGCAGGTAGGGAGGCAAAGGGCACAAGTCCAACATTTCCAATCAATGTTTACTCTAATTTAGTTAAGTCTCTCCTGGTGGTTCTAAATGCCACCTAGTAAACACCTGGTCCTAGAGATATAGCATGGGCGATATATAAAGAGAATCAGCTCAGATAAAGCCCCCAATTCAGGCTGTGCTAATTACAACCTAGAATGACAAGATTCAGCCAGGACACCTCGGAGACTAACTTCCCAGTTTATAATGGATTCTAATCAGCTTGAAGTTAAAACAAAGACCTTGCCCAGCCGGCATGGCTCAGCAGTTGAGCATCGACCTATGATCCAAAAGATCGAGGTTCGATTCCCAGCCAGGGCACATGCCCAGATTGAATCTCAACACCCAGTAGGGGAAGTGAAGGAGGCAGCCGATCAAGGACTCTCATCGTTTCTCTCTCCCTCTCCCTTCCTTGCTCTGAAGTCAATAAAGACATTTTAAAAAGAAAAAACAAAGACCTCCTTAATGTGGACTCCTCCTTAGAAAAACAGCTCATGTGTAGAACTGTACTGTAACTATTATGGAGGCCTTGCTATTTCAGTAAACACATATTTACTGAGCACCTATTAAATGCCAGGAACTGTACTAGTCACTGGAACTACTTTCAATAATCTCCTCCAGTAATCAAAACTTGAAGAGTAATATAGACCAGTTAGACATTTGCACGAAGTGCTTAAAGAGCACTGGGAAGAAAGCAAATTTTTAAAGGGGCTACTTGTCTTTTTAATACTAAGTCTGAGACTTCACTTCATTGTTTTTCATATAAGTGTTAGCTCTGACACAGAATTGTCACCTAGGGTTGCAGATATCAAAACTGATGCCTATAAAGCTGTATACTCTGGGCTAAGTACAATGCAGACTTTACTGCAAACTGTAAAGTGGGAAGTTACCACACACTGACTTAAAACCCATCTAACCTAGAATGGTAAAGCAATTCAATCTGGTTTTGTGTTGTGGATCTATTTTACTAATACAAATTTGTGCAAGTGTATACTCAGTTACCAAAACAAATGCAGAGGTTTGTAGACATTTACCCATTTAAAAGCTTTTCTATGCTGCATTTCTTTGTAGGGGCTGATGCTGAGAGTGGCTGGCCAGGCCCTGGCCACTGCATGACCTGCTGTCCCAGTGAGGCCATCCTGATGAGTAGGGGTCAAAAAAGGGTAAGGGCTTCACTGATGTTGGTTGTGCGATGCACACTGGGAAGCCAAGGAGCTAAACACCTCACTTTCTTGCTGCCAGGCTCTGGGCCATGGCCACTGTGAAATTAACTCCTGCTTTGGAACTGCCCCCAGCAACCAGGGTAAGAATGTGAATCAAAAACGGCACCATGGGACACCCTGGTGGCATTAGGTGGATATTGCAAGCCATGTTCAAAGACTAATCCTCCTAACCTCCCACTGGAAAGGGCGCACTGGCTTAAAGCAATGCAGTAACACAAACAGAAACTTGTCACCAGGAGACATGGATTCAAGTTCTGGACCAGTCACTTTAACATCTCTGAGCTTATTTTCTCAAACTGCAAAATGAGGCTAATACTATTCAAGGAATAAAATGAAGTACTTCATAAAATGATTACCTGCTTTCAGTAAGAACAAGGTATTTTTACCCTATGTCCTTGCATTTTCCCCTGGAAATTTTCCATTAAAAAAAAAAAAAAAGGTAGCAAAATCACTGCTTTGAGAGTAAGCCCAATCTGAATGAAGGACCACACTACATATCAGGTCTAAGCTATGGGGTCCACCTGCCTAGTTCATGAACCTACTTACTCATAAACATTCATTAAGGTGTGTAGAAGCATACTGCTCATCTTCAGAGAAGTGTCAAAAAGTTATTAATAGTCCTTGCTCTGAACATTTACCACATATATGAAACTAGACAGCTTAGAGGCAACATTAAGTGCATGAACTATGTCACTATATAAACATGCCAAAGCAAAACAAATAGAGTACAACTAGTCCAAGGATGTTCAAGTCTTTAGCTGATCATAAAGGGGTGGAAGAACTTTTAATGGCCAAATGGGGATGTTTGTAGAATTTGGGTGTCATGTGTAAATGTTTGCCGAGTCTCTTGGCTCTGAGAAAACTGCTTGACCTAGTTCACCCTCTATAAGCCTGAAGATCAGGATCCCTGGCCTGAAATAATGTTGACTCGCCCAAACCAAGGAAATAATACACCATCTGGTTTCTTCACTCTACGTAAGTCTTTATATATTTGAATCTCTTCATGGAATAACTAATAAAAAATAACCAAAATGATATAAACCCACTGAGAAATGTGCAGGAACACTCAGAGACAGGACCACTAAATTCAGAAGTGATTTGAGACTTTTCTGTAATAAATAAGCTTAAGAGTGATTGAAAAAGGAGAACCAGGAGGAAGCAGCAAGAGGGAATTGCTCTTAGGAAACAATGGCATCAATTCTTGATCTATACTCAAAGCGTGTATCACTTGCAACAAAATAACTTTCTTTTTGACTTTCCAAGACTCATTTTTGGGAAGCACTTACTTTTCTAATTATACTTGGCTTAGGCTAGCATTTAAATTAACTTGCATTTCCTTACTAAGGAGAAATTATTTAATGCAATGTTAGAATTAAAATTACTTTCTCCAATAATCCATCCAGTTAACCAACAGTTTGTGAAATAGGCTTCTATATAGTGCTTTGCTTTTAAAAAGTACTAAGTTCTTTCCATCTTGTTCAATCAACATTTATTAAACTGTTAGCATTGCATTTGGCTCATTGGGAAATACAAATATTACAAAAATTCCATAGGGCATGAAAATTTAACACAAAACATTCTAATGTAATAAACTGTGAGACTAAATGCATCAGAGAAGACAGTTATTTGGGCTTAGCAGCTTGTTTTCTATAGTTGCAGAAATGAAGTTTAACTTGAGGATGAAGTTTACCTTGAGAATGACCAGGATTTAAAGCTGCAGGGTGACTAAGTGGGGGGAAGAAGTCTGAAAACAAGCAAATATACAGAACAAAAATAAGCATGGTCAGTCAAGTATTTATCAGGTCAACCAGAGCAGGGGAAAATATGAGAAGAGTGATAAATTAAAAAGGCAGACTATAACCTACTATAGACTCGTACCAGGTGAAGTGACATGTTTTAAGATCAGACATGATGGCCAGGATGGAGACTGGAGTCAGTGAAACAAGCTGAAATTTTAGTAGTAAACTTGGGTTCAGACAGGGATGCTGATATGGCAGACGGAGATGAGAAATGCAAACAGGATTTTAGATAACTCTTTGACAAGAAAACACATCTTTTACAGCCTAGCTCAAGTCAAATACAGTGGCACTGTGGCTAGGAACTAGTTACATTAAGTCACAGACCTTAACTACCTCCTCTAGTTTGAGAACAAAGCAGCCATTGTTTCCTTTGTTGTAGTGCTTGCTGTGCCACTAACCAACACCTTGCATTTCTAGTCTTAAGATGTGGGTGTCCCTCTTGGTTTATTTTATAACTAAATTTAAATGTCTCCAAAAAGAATTAGAAACACTCCAGGTCACAAAATGTAAAATGTTTTAATGTTATATACAAATAGCTCCTACTGCACAGTAAGTATAAACTGAACAGGGATTTAGTCCCAACTTAGAAGAAATTGAGACCTATATTTACTGGTTATTTAAGATATTCAGAAAGGGAAGGAATTCAATTTTCTAGGTTCCTCTTCCAAAGCAATTGAATAGTCCATCTTTTGAGTGTCTACTCAGTGCAACAGCATTGTGCTATATACCTGGGAGGAAAGGGGGAGAGAGGTTATAACCTGTTAGAAAAGACAGACATATGGGAACACTGAAGGATCAATGGTGCTTTTTCAGTATTTATCATGTGCCAGGCAGTTTTGGTTCCTTAGAAAGTAAAAGTTCATGAACTAAGAAAGCTGAAGTAGATGGATGGAACGAGCAAGCCAGGTAACATACATACTACACTAGAGGTACATGTACAAAGTCTGTGCCAACACACAAGGGAGTGATTCTGTCTGGTGGGTGTGTCGGTTTTCAGAGTTCATTTTTGAAGTACTACCCAAGGTAAGTTACACTCCTCTAAATGAAGAGGCGGTAGACACTGCAGGAAGAACAGGACCAAATGCGAGAAATGCTGGAAAATGTCAAGTCCTGGGAGAAAGGTTATTAAGGGCTGTATCTGCCTTTCTAAGGTGTGCGTCCTGCAGACAATAGGTTTCAAGTAATTCTAGTGGTGGTGATAAATTTTTCACTTTACAAAGATCATTCTACCAATAATGGCTGGTGCTGAGTTGGACTTGGGGTGAGGATACCAATGGACTGTCAAGTTCGGCACTCAATGACTTGTGATGTTTTAACCCAAATTTCTCGGCATGCCACTTTAAGGGTGGGAGAGATTTAGCCCAGGACTTTGAAGTCCTACTTAAAGGCTGTAGGTTGACTGATGCAGCAGTCCATTCCTAAATATTAAATCTTAGTAACTGCCATAACCTGAAAGTTTATCCCAATAATAAAGACTCCCCTAATACCCAGCACCATAGGGTACCATTCAGCCATGCCATTGGCCCTTTAACAACATCCAAGTTTAGCCCTTTTCTTTTATAAAGGAATTCTGTATTTTCTTTAAAGTTAAATTAAGGAGGCATCAGAGCTAACACTATTAGGATTAAGGACAGGCATAACCAATCTAGTGCACTTTCAGTATTTTCAATCCAATTTGTAGCAAGGCTGCTAGCCAGCAACCTTCTGCAGTCTCGCTTGCTATGTAAAATGTTTAGCAAGCAGGGTAATCTCTCTTGTATAACCTTATTTCTCTCCTGGAAAAATACCTTTGTCTCCTAGTGTCTTACTCTTCAAAGCAGACACGTTTCTAACATTAATGATTTAAGTGGGCCTAAGAAACTTTAATATTCTAAATGACAATTTAAACAGGAGGCAAAGCTGAAGTTTGTTTCCTCTACATTTTTGCAATGTGAAGTAGGGGAAGAGAGATATGAATGACAAATGCTAAAGTACTAATCCCCAATAACTTTCATCTGTCTTAAAATAAAACGGCATTAATACATCAAGAGAAATGTACACTTTATCTCAAGATACTCTATTGCCTACTTAAATAAGCAGGCCTAGGAAAGAGAAAAATATAAACAGCCAACATGACTAGCAAGTTCTTAAAGACACATTAACAATTAAAAATCTTAGTAATGCTGAGAAGTAAGATCACTCCAGAAACTGTTCCATACCATACGGTTTCTGAAAGCATATCCATTTTTTTGGTATATGACCAATTTTATGCCGAGACACTTTGCAGCACATCTACTCCTGCACCCAATTCTTACACTCGCAACCTTACTATTTCATACCTTACGATGTACAAGTTTGGCAGAAAACAAGCAGAGTCGTATCTTCAGCATTTTTCCCTTAATTAAGATCTAGAAATAGTTCTTTGGTTTATGTTAAGTTTGGTATTCATGAAATTAAGCTCTATTCAAAACCTAAATGGATCCAGAAGCTTTGAAAAGGGAAAGGATTTTGCCCAACAGATGAGAAGACAGAAAGAAAACTTATCCCAGAAAACCCAACCCCTAACTTTGGAGTTGTTACACAATTTAGATAGTTGGTTTCTGAAACCTTGCTGTTTATGACCCTTTACAGTAGGGATAATTTCCTGGTTGATTCTGCATCACAGTGCCCTCTAGTGACTAAGTGATTTCCCCTAGCATTTACTCATTTAGGAAAGTGAAAGTTGTTTTTTCTAGTCACCTAGACATTAGGCTATCCCTACAATTTGATGTTTTGTTCCAAGGCTCTCAGTTTCCACTATCTTCCCATTGATAGTTCTATCAATAATTGATAGAGGATACCTCTAAGTTTTATGGTGGCAAGGAGTTAAGACACTTTTTAACCTGGTAGTTTGAAGGCTTAACTCCTTACTTTTTAAGAAATGAAGACGAAACACTCAGGACCTGCTGAACTTTTTTAAATGTTTCATCTGTGTTCCATACTTACCTAAATGAACCTCCTACGCAAAGCATGAAAGACTTCTCTCTCCCTGATAAGCTATTATGAGGTTATTTCCGCCTAAATTAATTTCTATATGACAAATTTATTTCCTGTGACTACAGAAGCACCAAGTGATTTTTGTAATTAAAATTACTTTGCTCAATAGACAAAATAAACAGATGTTCCCTTATCTTTTTACTTCATGACAATCCCAGCTTTTCCTATAGGGCCAGGATGATCAATGTTCCAGAAATTACTGAGAAAAAGTACCCTAAAAGAATGTAATCCACTGTATACACTAGGATGGCAAAATATTTCCTTTAGTGTAATACAAATGCTTTGAATCCACTATAGCAACAGAATATAAAGAAATGTTGTCGTACCTTTTTTCCCCCTTGTGGCTGCTTCAGCCTAATATGAGGAATGTATACCTCAATTAATAAAGGATCCACATTTTACTCACATCCAAAGTAACACAAGCTTTAGCCCTGCATGTTCTACTAGAGTTCTACAATCCCTTTTCCAAATTCTTGGGGACAGATGTATCTGAAATTCAGAACTGTTTACACTTTACAAAGGTATGGTATACAGACCCTATATAAAATTTAACACCCTCAGCAAACCCTGTAGCAACTGTATAATGAAACATACCACTTATTTCTGCAGGAAGACAAGTTATTCACAGTAAGTACAAAATGAAGGCATCAATTCTTGTCAGGTTTTACATGCAATTATTTCAACAAACTCTTTTTGTTTTCAAAAGTTTTTTGGGTAAGAAATTGTGAACCAATTTTCTGCATAATAGAATTAAGTTAAACCAAAGGACGGTTAAGTTACAATAGAACCTCAGTCTAATAGTTTCTCTCCTTTTAATAACTATTTCTGGTACATACATACATATAATGTATTTCATGTGTAATTTTATACACAAAGCAAAAAAGCACATGTAAATTCATCTTCAAGAAACTTAAAAAAACACCCTATTGAGCAAGATGTTTCACAGACAAAACTGAAAGTTGAAAGTCTAGAATCATACTGCACATAAGCACAAGTGGATATTTGTACTCAAAACTTATCACTAAAGTATAAAACTTAGGAAAGCATTTTAGATGAGGAAAATCTGTTCACGTTTCAAACATTAAGAAATTTAAACAATTTTAAAAATAAAATTCAGATCCCAAACAATAGGAATCAGAAAATGGGTTTCTTACCTTTTGTTTCCAGGATGTGGGATGAACAGCAAGATGGGTTATTCAATCTGATGTTATGAAAAATAGGTGCTTCTTAGACTTAAGTCCTTGGTCAGAAAATGACAAACTAATTATAGGCTCCCTACAACATTCTAAGGGGAGACAAATAGGGAGAAAAGGTGGAAAATTCATGCCAGCCTTTTTAGTTCCCAAAAGATGGCTTTTTTCTAATAGCTGCCAATATGGGTAGTTTTAAGGGCCATTCTAAGACTGAAAAAAAGTCTGCCATCTCCCCTCAGCTTTTAAGCTGCCTTGGTTTCACCTGCAAAATCTGCCCCCCTCTACCATTCATTAACACACATTAAGTCTTCTCTAATCTTCAAAGAATTGATACACCAGACACAAAAAGTTTTCTATCTTATTTTCAACCTGGGGTTGAAACAACTAAAACTTTTTGTAGAGCACATCTTTCAACTTCACTTAAATGTACTCAACCTCGACTGAAGGGAACTTTCATTTTGGTGCCGTTACCAAAACATTAGGTGAACACAAATGAACTCAAGCTTACTTAAATCTACCCCGCATTTATCTTTCCAAAATCATCATTTAAAAAGACTTAAAAAATATTCGAGACAGAACTTGCCTATAGCCATGCCACCCAGAAAATGCCTGATCTCGTAAGCAGTCAGGCCTGGTTAATACCCCAATGACAAAAACTTTATTCATTTTAATAAATCTTTCGGCTTCTTGAACCTACTTTGATTTACAATGACTTCGATGAATCTATCCTCAACTACTTTTCTTAAATATTTAAAGTGGAATCCTAGCTTTCAATTCAATACCCTTTTTCTTCCTCCTGACATTCCACAAGATTCATTTGCATGTATTGGTTAGGTGACCAAATCTTGGGGCCCACTTCCTCTACCAAGATTACTTTTAGTTTTTCATAGTTTGAAATCATGTCACCTGAGTAGCTGTCTTAAATTCTGGTTCCAAATTCATTAGCACCCATGGGAATCGTTAAGATTTAGTTGGGTGCAGAAAAAGAATGTTTTGATGGCTGTGACTAGCTATCAGGAAATCAGACGATTAGGTATTTTAGGTAAAAATCCCCTCCAATTCAAGCAAAGTAAAAATTTAAAACAAAGGGACTGTCAAGTAAAAAGATACAAAAATTGGTAGACTTCAGGGTATAATCACTACTTTGGTATGTTTTGGATACAGAAAAATAATCTTATGGTTGAGAAGAGTTTGCAAAGCAAAAAAGAATGTCCAGCTTTTTACCAGCAACAATTCACTGAAATAAGCAGTTATTCCTCTAGTGTACCATTCACATTTAAAAAAAAAAAGTAAATTGTGTTGAGAATTCTAATCTGTGCTTAATTTAAACATTTAATACTTACCAATTTTTGAGATGAGTTTCATTGAGAATCTCAAAGGCTACCTCCAAGTTAACATTTACCAGTCATCACTCAATTTTGTTTAAAAGCCTATATTATCTATTTAGATGATCACCAAAAATAAGCAGCATCTATAAATTTTAATAACTTTTTATTATCAAAGTATGGGAAGCTTATCTTTCAACGACTAGACCACCCCTCATTTACCATGTTACATACACAATTGCCTTTCTCACCTTTTATCTTGCCCTGAGTATTTTTACAAATAACAAGAATTACTTAATACCATAAAATCACCTTTCAAGAACCTTTAATTAACTAACACATAAATTCAAAAGTCAGAATCTTATCAATTTCAAGTATTAACTGATAATCACCCCATTAAAATCTTACAAGAGGAAAAAGGACAACCATGCAGTTTTTTAAAAAACGTTTATTTTTCAAAGAAAAACGGCAACAGCCAATTGGAAACCTACTTATTCTTCAACTCCAATTTTGTTTTAAATTTAGAAATGACTTACTGATTTACTATTTTAAACAAACCCCCCCTTTCCCCTTTAAATGTTTACCATCTACTCGTGCTGAATCCTTCCAAGGAGATTGCTCCAGCGTTTATCTCCAGGTCCTCGCTTTGCTCCTTTTACCAAAAAATGCAAAACACAATTCCATCGTGCATCTTAAGGGCTCCAATCGTCAAAAATAGGAAAAAAAAAAAAAATCTTTGGAATAGCCAATTAAGTTGAATAAAAATAAAAAAAATCCACACGAATGCGGTTTGGTTGGGGCAGGAATCCACTCCTATGTTCCTGGTAATCTGATCCCGCTCCATGAATCCTTGTAATTCATCCTCCCTATCCTATCCACATTATGATTTGAATCCAATGATCCAGCTCCAAGGATTGGGATCCAGTGAGCCCTCTCCAATCCAAACCTTTATAACCAGCAAAACCAAAAAAGAGGAGGCAAAATGTTAGATACTGTAATCAAAAATGGTTTCTGGGGAATGATGAGTTATGTCTGTCATCAGTTTAACAGATGTACATCAATAACTATCAAATTCCCCAAAACAAGTTTCTGAATGGTGTTCAGATAAATTTTAGAAACTTAATCATCATAGAGACTAATTGGAAGAAGCATTTTATATTTACAGTTCAACTGATAATGCCAACACTTGTTACTGTACAGCGTATTACAGGTTTTGTGGTTGCAAAAAGTTATGTAGTTTGAAAGTTTACTGGTATTGTTACCCACCTAAGTCTAAACTAAATCTAATGCTCCCATCTGTAATTTAATTTGTAAATTAAAGTGTTTTAAACATGAGTCAATTATTAATATTAGTTTAAAGGGAAAGGTGAGACTTAGAAATTCCCAACTAGATTATCTACACCAATACGTTTGAATTCTATAATTTGCTTTCATTTTGTCTTAAAAAAAAATGAAATAGCAACGCTATATCAGTCACACAGAGGACATGCAGATTTAGCAGTATTGATATTATACTCTATCTGGTTGGAATTAAAGACACCCTGTACCCACATGTACACCAACAGCAGGTCACACATTAACAGTTGTAACTAAGCACTGTGACAAATTAGCCAGTTCTTCCCACATTAGTCCCTATTAAAACAAAAAAGGGGGGAAGGGAGCAAAATGGGCAATATAATTTTTCCACAATTGCCAAGGTTTATAGAGCAAAGCAATTGTAGGTAAAGATAACTGCATAAGATGTTTGCAAGTGTTTTAACGTAGATGCATATATATCACTTTTAACCCTTGTCTTTTAGTATAAGGTCAATACTGCCAATTTCATCTGTGACAATAGCACTTGGAGTCATACCATTGCCTCCATTATTGATCTGATCCTCCTCAATCCTCCTTTTGACAATCCTAAAATGATTGAAATGTGCTCCACAATCCTTAATCCAAAGCATTCTTAATCCATCTCTTCAGATATGTCTACAGAAAGACACATGAAAAGCAAGATAAACATAAGAACTTCCCCAAGTAAGATAACCACAAACACCCCCAACATCCCAGTTCACACAAACCAGAGCAGAATAGACATTTACACAATATCACAGTCTGAAGAGAATGGAGTTAACTAAATTCAAACACTCCTGTCTATGACATCACTTAAAATACAATTTACCAGACATGAGGGGAATGTAGATGTTAGGAGCAAGGGGATATTACACAAGAATGCAATTCAACACTTTAGCCCATTCTGAACAAAACAGTTTGAATTAAAAAAATGAAAAGATTGTACTGAGTAAAGGAAAACTGTATACAACATGGGTTCTACAAAAAGTGTCACCAATTATCTTATGTACGAGAGCGAGATCTGCTATGACGGGGAGAATAGCGTGGTGATCCTCTGCTTCTCCTTGGGGAGTAACTGCGACTCCTGCTGTTGCTTCTGCTACGGCTTCTGCTACGACTACGGCTTCGAGATCGAGATCTTCCATAACTTGGACTTCTGGGCCCATCAACTTTAACCCGGATGTAGGCAGTTTCTCCCTATTGAATAGACAGAACTTTCGATTGAAAAATCTAAGCTTTTACCTGTGTTCAGGCATGCTGAATGAGTACAATGTAGCTAAAACCAGAAATCTGGCACTTTACTTGGACACCCTTGCCTGAATCTTACCTGCAAATTCCACTGTTAAGACCACTGTATCCAATTCTGGCCAAAGAAAAGAATAAGTGTATAACCTACCTCATGAGATCTAAACTTAGTGTTATCCAGTTTTCGAACTGCATAGGTCATATCTTCTTTCCGTACAAACTCCACGACACCAGTGCCATCTCGGTAAACATCAGCATAACATACATCACCTGCTTCACGCATGTGATCCTTCAAATCCTGCCAGCTTCCACTTGGAGGCAGTCCTGGAAAAGCGATTTTTTTCAAAACCAATTATCCTAAATTTCACGTTAAATTTAAAATTTACATTAGAATGAAGACCTACTTTATAACTAATGATTACATTTAAGATCCTAGATAAAGAGCTAAGATTCTGGAATCCGGAGTCCAAAATTATTCGTAAAGTAACGACCTTCATATTCTAGGTACCGAAACCTAATTTAATAAATCTCCCCCGCAATAATCCTTGTTTACTAAAGTCACCCAAGAAACTAAAGTAATTTAAGATCTGGCATAAAAGCTTGCATTTATTAAACTAGTCATGAGAGGAAAATTTTAATTGGTTTCCTGTCCCTTCTCACCAATCCACATTAACAGTAAACTCACCAGAGACAACCACTCTGTTTTCAGACCGCCTGGATGGGGGGCCATAGCGGCCTCGGGGAGCTCCGCCACCTCCACCCCCGCCGCCGCCTCGGCCTGTACCACGGCCGCTCCGCGGAAACTCCACCCGCAGACGGTATCCATCATAATCATAGCCGTCGCGACCATACACCGCGTCTTCCGCGTCTCTGCGTGATCACAGAAAGCAAGAGGACTAAGAAAAAGGACCCCGAGGGGCAGCTAACTCTGCCGGGACCCAGCGGCCCCCCGCACATGCGCACCCGGTGTGGACGAGCTCACATGCGCTGCATAATAGGGATGGCCCCTCCCCCACTCAGAAGCACGCCAGGCTCCAGACCACTACACTACACAAGCCCTCAACGCCTGTTTCCCGCTCCGAGCCTGGGTCGGCTCTGGGAACGTCCACGGGGGCCCATCCACCACAAAGGCCAAACCGACTCAGCTCCTTCCTCGACTCCAGCTTGGGCGATAGCGTCTTGCCCCCTACCTAAGAGCCAATCTCCCCATTCTCTAACATTAAGGCCTTGGAGCTTTCCCCAACTACTACAACCGATTTCCTCAAGGCCGCAAGGCCCAGGTCGCCTCACCGCGGGTCCTCGAACTCAACGAAGGCGAAGGGCGGTCCTCCGCGGCGATTCTTGAGATCGATGTCGCGGATAGCACCGTATTTGTAGAACACGTCCTCTATGTCCTTGGTTCGGATGTCTGGAGGTAAGTTACCCACGTAGATGCGGCAATCGTTGTTCCCCGCCGGGCCACGAATCACACCACCTCCCGACATGGCGACGACGAAAAGCGCGGACTCGAGAACAGGCCTTCCCACCAAGCCTAGCGCACGGGAGAGCGAGCCCGCAGCGACACCACGTCTCCCGCGGCCCCTCCAAAATGGCGCCTTTATCAGCTCGGCGCACGGATATGGGGGGGAGGGAAGAAGAGAAGCGGGAGGAAGCAGCTATTCGATTTCAGTGCGCACGCGCAAGAGCGTAACGGGTCAGCGAAAATACGCTCACGTACGCGCGACGTCACCCTCCGCGCGAAGGAAAAAAAAAAGTTCCCTGCGTTCCCGATTTGCTAGTGGTTTGCTAATGGAGTCACTAGCTGTGTGGTAAAAAAACACAGTGTCTTCGTTAAAGGGGTTATTAATCTGTCGAGTCTAAAGAGAGAGTTTCCTCAGGAATAAGTCTTTTAAAGCAACTAGGCGACTTAGAAGGAATTGGTGAAGCCTACCCTAGAGCCTGTCCCACCATGCTTAGCGGCGTTAACGTCCTTTGGCGGGAAAGACTGCGAGGGGCGGAGTCAGAGGGGGGAGGGACGCGTCGGTCGTTCCGGAAACGGGCATCCTTGGAGAATGCACCTAGTGCAGGAACGGCGAGGCGCTTGGTTCAACCCAGAGCCCAGGCGCGACTGCCTTCCTACGCCTCCCGCTGACTAGCGGTGGGCTGCTTAGACAAGTACTTGATTTAGGGGAACCTAGTTTAGGTTCCTTAGTAAATACTTTACGCTAAATATCGTTCAGCCGTCGGTTCAGAGTTTAACTGTGTGTAGCTCAGTTCAGCGGTGCCCGTGCTCGCTGGCGGTGATTCGCGCCCTGATGGGCCGCGGGCGGTACCTCCCGGCCGGGACCCAGACCTCTGCTTCTCTCGGTCTCTAATCGCCTATCATTAGGCCCAGCCTACAGCCGAGGTCCAGTGAAGGTTTACAGAATGACTTGTTCCTGTTATTTCTCCAATCCCTTTCAAAGAATGAGAAAAAAAGTGTGTGTGTTTATAGAATCCTGAAGTGCGTTCCTTTTTTGAACTCCTTACCGGGCCTTTCAGGTACTAGAAGTGAGCGGCGTGGATATGTGAGCATTGCGACCACTGGAGACCACGGTTGCTGCTCAGGACTGATCCTGCTTGCGTGCTGTCCCAGGGATAAAAGAAGTTTTTACATTTTTCCCCAGAGATATTTAAAATCTGAATTTTTATGTGAAATGTTGGGATTTTTAAAATATGAGTCATGAATTTAAATTTTGAAGAAACCCTGCAGTCATAAATATGCTAAAACAGATCTGCACCTTGACTTTAAGGATGATTTTCTTCATATTATAAATTTATTTACAACAATCCCAGGATGTAAGGCAGTTTGCAGAGATACCATAAAGCATTATTAAAACTGAATGAGGAAATCAGGGGTAATGGGAAAATAAGGAGAGAAGATTAAGATGAAGTCATGGATAAGGTTAGTACACAAAACATCTGCAGTAATAGCCTGGTGAGTTTCTGAAGATGGACTGCAAATTTGATTCTGGTCCTCCCAGAAGTCACAGTAAAGAAGGGAACACAAGTATATTCAAAATCCAAAGTGCCTTTGAGATGAAAGAAATAAATCATTTAGGAGAAGAGCATTATTTCTTAGCTCTAAAAGTTGGTCGAATGTATTTTACAAATGTTTGGTTGTCCTTAAACTCTCTGTGATGGTTTCCAAAATTATGTGTATATGTGCATGTACTTCTACAAAGAGGATTTGAAATTTTAATCAGATTCTTAAAGGGGCCTATAGATCCCCAAAGGGAAAAGAACCTCTGAAACTTTTAGAGGGAAGGACAGATTGTCTATCCTTTGACTATCCTTCAGTGATATTTTTTGACACTGAGCTTTTAATTAAAAGGACAAGAACCTGGTAATTTTTAAAATGAGAAGCTGACCAAAAAGGACACTATTTTAACAGATTTATTCAGCTAGTAGCAGAAGAGATGATAAATTTTTTTTTAAACTGCAGGCATTTCACTTAAGGTGTTGATTATTTAGTACATTTTCTTTCTGTTCAAACTTCCATCCATCAATTTAGATTTATTCAGGTTCATGTTGATTAATGTTAAGTCAATGACAACTGAAGTGACTTAAACATGGGTGGTTTTAATTTCAGGACATTTTCATTCCAGAAAAATAAGAAAACTGTGAATTTGCTTTGATTGATTCTTGTCCGTTTGAACTGATGATCATTTCTGATTTTGTTCAGTTCAGAGGAATACAACATAGACTTTACTATAAAGTGAATAGGACATTCTTGTTTCTCTGTTGGCTCCCTTTATTGTATTTGAATAGACCCTATGTTCTGGGGTCCATGATGAGATCAGGATGTAGCAGAAAAAGTCTGGATGGCTGTTTATCAAGATCTCCCAGGATGACGTTGGCTTGGTGATTATTACAGTTAAGGGTGTGATCTTAATACTATAAGTGTACCAGAGTTGATTAACAGATTTTAGTCCACAAGAAAGCAAATAAACCAAACTATTTGTTCATTCGTTGAGCAGTAGGGCAGATACACTTTTTATAACCAGGATGCTCAGATTGTACTTGCCAAGATAACTGTCCTGGCCAGTCTGGAACACACATCAGGCATTTGTTTAGTAAATGAATTAAAACAAAACAAGGTGAGTCATTTTGAGAGATATTTCATTCAGATCAAGGTGAGACCTGATACACACACACACACACAGTATACCACTTCAGTGACAGGAAAATTCATACTCCCTGGATTTTGTGTCTCTGTTCCTGGACAANCAGTATACCACTTCAATGACAGGAAAATTCATACTCCCTGGATTTTGTGTCTCTGTTCCTGGACAAAGCTGGGTAGAGACTGGCAACTTTCTTTCTGTAGGCTAATCTTCACACAAACTTTCTCTAAACAGCCTGCTAGACAATTGATTAGATTTCTGCTGACTGAATTACAGCCACTTGCAGTTTCGCCTCCTGAGATTACATCCATATCTTAATTAGGGGTTTAAAGTGTTTTTAAACTTATCAACATTCACAGGCAGTTTTATGGATTGCTGCCACAATTATCAAATTTATTAAGTATGGATTTTACCAACTTAATTCTCAGAAGCTTCTTTATTTTCAACACTGTCCATGTTTATGAAAAGTTGCTTTCTCAAAAAGAAACTTTAAATGCTTTTGATTCAATTCGTTGAATATATACCAGTGTCAGCACTATATTTTACCCTGAAAATTATTTATTTGGGGGGAAAAAAGAAAAGAAAGAAATTCAAAATGTTAATTACTGTTAGGATTGAAATTAGAAGACACAGTTTTTCAGTGATTTGCTGAACACTTAAAAATCTATACCTGTGATGATAGTTATACAACTCTGTAAATAATACAACTTGTTGAATTGTGTACACTTATAGTGAGTGAGTTGTATAGTATGTAAATTATACTCAAAACTTATTTAAAATGACTAGGGGGAAAATATCTCTGCAATCAGCAAAATCACTCTCTAGTACCATTCCTCTAAAGGCATTACTGGGGGTGGAGGTGTTCTAGAGTAATTTGCTCTGAAAAATGGCTTCCCTAATCTGAAAATACTATTTTTAATATTTGTGTGTCAATGCCTATTGTCTTCCCTAGAGATAACTTATATTTACTAGGTAAAGAGACACTAACAGAAATTAGGAATATTTGATTGTACTGCGTACAGGAGTTATCTCCAGAAACAGTTCGCTTGCATAATTCTCTATTCCAGTGATTTTCAACCAGTGTGCCGCAGAATTTTTAAAACGTGTAATACCTAACTATTTAGTCAGGGGCACTGACCTCTTTTCCTTTAGATTGTAAAATAAAAAAGTAACAACCAACACAAACAATATCATCTGGTGTGAATGAATCAAAACTATACCTATTTTTTTGGTCAGATTGGCAAAATTATAATACATTTTTTTGGTGTGCCGCAGAATTTTAGTAGTTTATGTGTGCCATGAGATGAAAAAGGTTGAAAGTCACTGCTCTATTCCACTGTTCTACTTGTTTTAGTTGTAGATATTCTCTGAAAAAGGAAGAAATAATATATATCTTTTAATTTAATGTATACTTGTCTCATCTTCCCTAGTAAACTGTGTTGAGGGCAGATTTCTGCTGTAACTCCCTTTATTACCAGTAAATTCTCTGTTCAAGCAAATATTATTGATGGTTTACTGACTGCTCTTTTAAAAAGGTAGGATGTTAGATGAGCAGAATGTTGTTTCTATGGAAACTTCATGTTGCTGTCAGTGGATAGACACAATGGGTACAAGGACTGTTTTTCGTTTTACAGTATAATCAGGATGGCCACTTTTCAAGCCCAAAGATGTCATCTAATAATATATTCTTGGTAATCTTATTTTAGGACTGGCCTCCCTCACTCTGATTCTCCTTGTTCTGTTTTTAGCTAATTCTTTCCATCTTTATTGTGGGATGATTTTGCCAGAAAACAGCTCTTAAAATCTTCTGTTACAAAGAGATATCCTTTCACCATGTCTCGTCTTCCTAATCGTTACTCCCTCTCTCCCTCCCTCTTGCTGCTCAGTTTTTTCTCTTAAAAATTAAAACCCCACTTCATATTGTACATTTCCTAATTGGAGCAATGGCTCTTTAAGGAATTATATTAAAAATGTGACAGATATGCTTTATTTGCTAAAAATGCTACCTGTTTTGGCAATTAATCTTATAGTCTGAGTCCTATATAAATGTTAGCTATTTTGTTATTACTAGTAGTTATATGTTAATGCTGCTGCCAAGTGTGTTAGAAATAATTTCAATAAAAATTTTTGAAATTTTGAGAGTGTGATTATTTTTTTCTCTTTATTGTTTTAGAAGATACCCAGATTAGCTGAAAACTCTCAGAATTACTTTTCTAAATTTGCTTGCTGAGCTGAGTAATTGCAACATAGACTACATGCCCACAAGCCTAAAATACAGGATGGGGACAAAAGTAAGGTTTACAGTTGTTCCTATGGAAAATAATACAATAATTAAAAAACAATACAAGAATAAACTCTGTGTTTTGTGTATTCACAGCTGTAAACCTGTTCGCCCCACCCCGTATTTACTATCTGGCCCTTATAGAAAAAGTATGCCAGTCTGATTGAGAGGAAAAGAACCTGCTTTTGTAATTTTTGCTTAAACCTAAATTAAAAATTCAGTTTTGTCATGTTCTCTCTCTCTCTAGGTGTTTTTGTCATGGGTAAGATCTTACATTGTTAAGTAGTTGTAAACATAAGTAATACACATTTTCGAGTGATATATTGCTTCCACATGC